GTCTCCAGCTCGATGTTAGGAGATCATACTTTTTCAACAAGGCTTTTAACAGTAACAACTCCTCCTCCTCCTCTGTAAGTGTGTCAACTGTCACATTTAATTCTAATCTGTACTGTAGCATTTATGCGTCTCCAGATCCTTGCCAAAACCCTGGCCTACTGCTAGAAGCCTTAGAATTTATAATTCAACATCTATACATATTCATTGTAATTCCGGGTGATTTCAATTTTTTTTTTTATGTGATGGACTTCAAATTTGACACTTGATGAAAATTCAATGGATAACATACAACAATCACCTTATTACTCACACTAAAATTCTTTGTGATAAATCCTCTGGATTCCGTGTATTTTCACTAGCTGTACGTCTGCTTCGTACTTTTTTTTTTTTTTTTTTTCGCATGTGGTTGAATGTCCGCACGCATCTCCATATGATCTTTTTACTAGGAAGCATACATACTCATCAAACACATTTACTAGTGATGATCCACAACTCACGTTGCACCATACAGTTGCAGCTTTACTAGATAAAGTGGCCCATTCTTTATGACTACTACAAACCCAAAACTATTCTATCTATCAAATGCAATGCGTGATTTTTGATAGGCGATTATGCGAATCGATATCGATAAAAGGCTTGATTCAAGGCAATCTAAAACGCATCTAGCATCTTTCGCTTATGTCTCTGAAGTGTAAATATACGTAGTCTTACTTTCGTATGGCTGTAATGATATAAATGTATAAAAATGTAAATGACAGTAGCTGGTTATAGAGATTGATAGCCTTTTCTTTTGTTTTTTGTTTTATTAAATTATTTTTAACTGGTCTTTTTAAAGATCTCCCAGTGGTCCAACCTAATAAAACATAATCAGTCAAAACATATTGTACTTAATACCGAATAAATAACTTACTCTGGGGTTAGATATACATATGTTAAAAGGTATTTAAATATGTTGATGGGGGGCTAAAATTGAAAGTTAGAATATTGCGTAAAGATTGTTATTTGATTACTTACAGGCACAAGCGGGGGAATGGCCATAGGTTCCTTGAGGCTTAAGTAAACCTCTAACGCATGCAACAAGATCTGTAATATAATAATTAAAAAACCAAAATCATCATTAAAAAGACACTATATACTTACTTCAGCATCTGAAGGCATACCAGCCGACTTGGGGGTGAAGCGGAAGCCAGCCAACTTGTCACTTTTGGATAAATCTATATTTTGGGAACCCGATCAGAAAAACATAATTCTTTCTTTACTGCGAACCTTTTAATTCAGCTTACCCAAGATTCGGTTTCTCACGTAAATCATACTTTCTTCGTCGGTGTGACCTTGCAATGCAAGAAAATCCACAACTTCTGAGACTGTGAAATCCGCATTGTCCTAAAATATAAATGTTAATATGTAAAACTCTCTCAATCCATGTCATTATTCTTACGTTAAAACCGGGGATCATTAAGGAGAGGGCAATGGTAACAGAAGGTGACTTTACCAGACTTTGATTTTTTTTAGCAAGCATGACATCAAAATGTTCAATGGCTTTTGCCAAGGGTGAGAACATTTTTTCATATAAGACCTTTAAAAAAAAGAGTTGATTAACATGTCTCCAAATAATTTATACAATCACACTTACGAGAAGAAGTCTGTCATAGAAAATGCTGGAGCAGCGATCGTTGAATTTGGTCCAGTTTTTCTTCAGTCCGAGAATCTAATTATTGTATTGTTAATATATTATTGATCTACTCGAATATCTATTCATTCTTGTGTTTACCTGTTCGATTCTAAAGTCTGTAATTACTTTTTCTGTTCTGTTCAAATACCACATGATGCGCTCTCTTTGGGCAGATGGCCGAAGAGGGGGCTTAATGCATGGTACGAATTTAAGCTTGGGTGCTGCGATTTTAAATGTACCGCTTTTGGGAGCTACTAAATTCGATAAACAGGAAAAGACTCTCTTTGGTGAGATGTCTAAAGAAGAGTTGACTCCTGTATTAAAGATGCCGGTAAGGCTTGGTGCACAAGAGGTTGCGCGACTGGGAACAGAACTACTGGAAGAATGAATACTGGGGGCGGCTGAAATAGGACTAATGACTTTCTCCTTGATGAAGTTTAAAAAGCCCGCAAACATATGATTTGATGGTTGTCCCTTTGGAGCGGGTGTGCGAGTATTGGGTCCAACAGTTTGTCTTTCAAGTAAGAATTCTATACAAAAATGTATATTTTAGTTTTTTTAATAAAGATATGTCTAATCATTCAACGTATATTACCATAAAATACTGAATGTGCTGTTTTAAAAAAGTTTGCTGAGAGAGGTCCTGGTCCTGAGGCGGTAATGTTTAATAAAAAAAAGTTATTTTCTCAAGGTTTCTACTTACTGAAAAAATAAATGCCATAAGGAACCTTAACTTTAGCAATGTAAGGGTTGATCGCTCCTTTGTAAATTGACCAAATATTGTGAATGCATAACAGAGAAGCAATATTTCTGAATGGGCTTTGATTAGAACCACGCTTTGGTAATTCAATTATTCATACTCTTACCTAAACATTGAGTTAACATCGCGTCGAAGATATATGTGAGAGGCCAAATGTTAAAAGAGAAGATCAAATAATTGAGTATGACCATGGCCAGTAATACTGCGCCATTAGTTTGCACAATACAAGCGTTATAGGACGTGTAAGGCATAACGAGTTATATGTATAAAAAAAAAAAGAAAAAATTTCAAAGCGTGTTTATTCTATTTTTTAAAAAAAAAAAAAAAAAAAAAACGTTACTGTTCATTTTTGCAGTGTGTGTGTAACGAGTACAATCTTGCATGGTCACACAAGAGTTACTTTGCTAAAATGTGGAAGAGCTGTCATGCGTCCTGACTTGGCCCTGTACATGGATCAAAAATTTCTACTCAACAGAATGAGTTCTAATATTAATACCATTTTGAGAAAACGAGGCAATGCTGCAAGTGATGGTATCCTTTTTACAGCTAAGGATGTTGACAACGAAGATTATGTCACAAGGCTTTTAAACCGGGATCAAGCATTCAAGACGTTTTCGGGAGTTCGTTCATCTTCTGAGTATTGGAAAAATCAAAAGAAAAATTGTATGGCTATGATCAGGCAGTTTAATGTTCCGACATTGTTTTTAACTGTTTCTGCAGCAGAGACCAAATGGAATGAGCTTCTTTGTGTTTTGAAAAAAAGTTGGTGATGATGATATTATGACGGAAGAGCAAGCTGAAGAACTAACGTATGAATAAAAGGCACAAGTATTACAACCTGATCCAATCACGGCTGCGAGATATTTTGACCATCGGTTTACGGAATTGAAAAGAACATGGGTGGATAAAGAAGGGCCTTTTGCTGGCTTTATGATCAAAGAGCACTTTTTCAGAGTCGATTGGGGGGTATTTATTAACAGGCTTTCTAAATAGGCTCCCCACATGTGCACATGTTAATATGGGTTAAGGATGCACCCGTATACGAAAACAAAGTATGCAGTAGTGAAGATGAAGTTGTGTCGATTAAAGAAAATATCTGTAGATTTTCTGACACTATGATCACTTGCAGCAAAAAAGTGGGACGGAACAGCTCACCATGATGATAAATCCAAAAGTTCAGATAGTACGTGGACATGGTCTTATTAAAACAAGACAAACACCACAAACACACCAGCACTTATAGAAGAAAACGAGGAGGTAACACCATAGTATGTATATTTAATGTTCCATTTCCTCCTATGCGCCAAACAGTAATTATGGAACCTTTGGAAGAGAATAAGCATACAGTAGATGATCTTAAAAATTTGCGTCTTCTAAACTCTCGTATTACGGCCTATTTAAACAATAACTCAAAAACGTTATCTAAATCCGAAATGACAATACAAGATTTTCTAGATGTAGTGGAAGCACCTTCCTACGAAAAATATCTTTTAGCTTTGAGAGTCTATTTGAAAATCAACAAAATCTACATTCAAAGGGCAGCAAATGAAATAATGGTCAACAACTATAACAGAAAAATCTTGAGCATGTTTAGATCCAACATGGACATACAGTGTGTTCTCGATCCATATGCTTGTTGTACTTACGTATTGGAATACACAAGTAAGGCAAACCGTGGGATGAGTGAATCAATGGAACAAATATATATCAGAGAAAAGGAAAAGCCAGATGCAAATTCTTTTGCTACTCTACGATCATTAGCTTTGACGTACTATAATTCAAGTAAAGTATCTGGTCAAGAAGCAGCATACTGTTTACTTGGTATAAGAATGATTGAAGGGAGCACCGTTAATGTCTTCATTCCCACTTCAAGACCTGAAAAACGAACGCATATCTTGAAAGAAAAAGACGAATTGATCAAACTTCCCCCTGATTCTACTGATACTTTTGTACATGGATTGATTGAACAGTATGTTCATAGACCAGACTCATTACAAGCAATTAATTTGGCTCAATTTTCTGCCTATTTTGATGTAAGTCTTAAAGACCCAACCAAAAAACGTCAACGCCATGAAAATAATGATGATGATGGAGACGATAGCGAAAAGGAACCAGTTTTAAACCTCGATAATGACGAAACTTTACAATCAGACTAACTACTTGCTGACCCCGCTGGTAAAGTCTTTCGATTAGAAAAGGATTCTGGTTTTCTTCATCGACAATCAAAATCCAAAGTTATAAGATACTATAAATTCAATATTGACAACGACCCACGTATCTCTTTCTCTGAAGAGATTGCTCAACTGAGTCATAAGCTTGATTGTTGTATTAGAAATAAAGTTATTGTCCTATAGATAAAAGCCTTGGTCCCGAAGATCACCAATTGCCATAAGTTGAACTGTTTCTTTGACAGGACCAAAGTGGTCCAAAACATTTCGCTTTAATTCGTCTTTTAATTTGATTGCATTTGTCAATATATTCTTGACAGATTCAACTAAAGAATCTCAAGTTTTAGTCATTTGTAAATGATGATGGTTGTTTATTTCAGACATGTGTAGTTATTAGAAGTGTTGGAGTAAAAGGTTTTTATTTATTTATTATAGCATTATCGTTACCGTTCAAATTTCTTTCTACATGACGTAGAGATTTTTATTGCCCCACAATATTACTTACCTAATAAGGGTTGGATGCATCATGCGTCAATAAATCTGTTTTCCTTTACTTAACATCATTGAATAATTTCTACATAATCTCTAATCCCACTTCGAGCTCTTCTGTTCCCACTCGTAAAACGGTTAAATTGACAACCCGTTTACATCCATGTCCTACCTGCAACAGAGAATTTAATTTTTATCAAGATTTGAGAAATCACCGCAGAATCCATTCTGTTAATGATTTGCTGACACAAATGAGGATGCCAAAGGTGCATTATCTATTAACAACAATGATCCAGTGGCGTACTATTCTATGGATGCAGTTAGTGCTTCTCCTATGCAACAAGAAACACCAGCAGGTAAGTTTGATAAAAGTGCAAGGTATATGACAGAACACTTACTTCAATTTGTTGGGTAACATGTAACAGTCCACAACGACCAAAGAGATTTAGATGAAAGATTTCCCTATTTGACTGAATTTAGGTGTGAAGAAACCGAGGGTCTTGCTCATGTTTACAATAATGGTGGTATAAGTGGGAATAGCTTTATCAAAGCAGATTTTTTTTAGTATCCAGCTTTGACAAGAATGAAATTTCTCAACCGGGATACAGAGAACTGGTAAGATTGATTAATACGGTTATTGGAGACCACGATCAAATAATGGAAGGTATACATACATCATTACTGTGACAACTCCTGTTATCTAAGCATACTATTAAAAACGAAACAGAGCCATGTGCTAAAGTATCCCAGGGTGATATTATCAATGCATTAGGCAAGTCTAAGTCGACTATTCGAGGTTATGAAGTATGAAACTTGTAAAAACGGATGCACGCATTTTGTAATTGACGGTGATGAGCGAAGTTGTCCGCATTGCAATGAATTCAGAAACAAGAATCAGAATGCCAGGCACCTGCAATAACCACCACCATCATGTCCGTCGGTTATATGCTTTCACAAATGCTTGCAGAAACAAAAAAGGAGGGACCTTATGCAGTATAGAGTGAACAGGGAAACAAGTCAAGTTGAAATTCGTGATTTTTTCGATGTTCAAGATTACAAGGAAGTTGTCTATTCAATGAGTTCACCAATCCAGATGATATTCCAATCGCTTTCTATACTGATGGTTTCGCTAACCGCACCAAACAGATGATAATTCAAGCGATGATCCACGCAGTTACCTTCAACTTCTACCCTTATATTAGTCATTTATGCCTTTCCTGTAAAATAATAATATAAATTAATATTACTCCTTGTTAAAAATTCAGATGCATACTTGCTACAACTAGCCATATTGCCAGGTCCAAAAAAACGAAAGGATTTGGATTTGTTTTTGATGCCTATTATTATGGAATTGAAGGACGTCTTGGTTCATCGGATGATAATCAAACAAAATGAGGAAAGGTACACCTAGTATTGGCTTCCGGCGACATTCCTGTTGATGGCCGATATGGCACATGTGGGATCCCACACAATTCCGGTCGGCTGCAGATTTTGTGGAACTAAAGGACAGCAACAGACAATCGACATGAGTGGGATGACCTTGGACGATAGTTTCGCATCTTCAAGACCTTCATCCGATTTCAAGCAAAGCAATCCTGTAAGCTAAAATTAATTAGTTAACTACTATGGTTGTAATTACATTTATTTAAATGTCAAGGCTACGAACATATATCAGTCAAGCATCTTCAAGGGATTTCTTTCGTTTTCGGGTTCATAGCTTTTTTTGCATTGGATAGTTACATTTGATAACTAGAGGTATTGGTAAGCTTGTGTACGATTTCATCATGGTGGATATTTCCAAAAATAATGCTTTTTTGTTCAATTGTCGATCGGATCCAGAGTAAAACCTGTTACCCTTTTTTCATCCCAAGCCCAAGTTGATAGAAATAGGCAACGCCATTAAGCACTTCAGAAGATACATACTAGTATTGTTCCAGAGTAGTTTTAATAACTTGGATAGCCAGAACAGATGGGACTCGTGCCGTAGATTGGCTTGCCTTTCTTTTGTATGTTGTTTCAACATTAATCATCGTACACCTTCCAACCCAGAGCTCCAAAATGCAATCATTTCGCTGGTAAAAGGGTGTGGTCTTGCATTAAAATGGGAGGTTCAACAAACTCTGACCAGAATGGAAACGTAAGTAAAATGAAATAAGGATGCTTGCCATAATACTTTGTTACTCACCCCCTTTATTCAACCTTCTACAAATGATTTCAAGACTTGCATGAATTTCTTGTTGAACAGATGGGTCATAAGAACCTATCGCGTGCCGTATTTCGACCAGTTCAAGACTATTTAATCCATATTCTGCTTATTATCAGAAAACAAGGTCTTCTACGTGCTTACTCTTCAAGATCCATGTAGCGTACTATAAGAAAATATTCCAAACTGATCAGATCTAATAGACAAAGTGAAAAAAACCCTAGTCATATCATCGAAAAAATTGCACTTCGGGCTTGTGTTGAGATGGTTATAGATATTGAGTACCTCTTAAATTTAATCGCAACAAGACCGTATGATGGTGAATCAAGCTTTGTTGATAACCCAGACGATACTGAGGGAAGTCAATTGTGGGAGCCTTTTTGACCAGTCGAGTTATTGTCATCGAATTTGTTGATGGAAGGTGTTGAATAAGAGGTGATCATGAAGGCTTCAGACAAACACTACCGACACCCGCTTTCTGATCTACTGTTGACACTAGACAACTATACGATTACAAAGACTGCACGCATGTGGAAGGGATCGGCTGTATACGTGACTCAAATTTACAGATGGTATACAAAAAAAGTGTCGCGTGGAAACCAGTATGTCATGTTCTACAGTCTATATCAGAAGTTAGTATCATGCGATAGTAGAACGTAAATAGCCAACTCACTGCTCTTTTAATAGTTTACGAAAGGTGACGAATCAATAATGGTTTGTTGGCTCCGTTGTTTTTATTTTTCGCACAAGCCTTGAAATGGACAGAAGCAATTCTTGGCCATGATGGAGGTAATGAGCCAACATGGTGCTTCGACCCGTCACACGTCGAGCCCAGTGGTCAAGATGATGTCACCAACACAAACGCCCAAATATGCTGCTATGTGTTTGATTCTGACAAACAGGCATCTGCTGGTAGATGTAGTATGCTGTAGATTGTTGATAATTTTTTCGTCTTTTTATCTTGTAATCCGTTCGCAGGAATGTAATAAACCTTACATATGTATACGTGTCTTCATGTAATGTCTCAACAAGGATGGTATTATTAGGGTGATTGAGAGATAAGAAAGTAAAAAAGCGAAGAAAAATGTTTTCGGTTTTCTAAAAAAAGAAAAAAAAAGAAAAAAAAAAAAGAACAGCTTCCATGCAAGATTAATAGAGAACTTTTGACGGTTTTGAAAAACCTCCAACTAAACAAACGTTCCCTTAACCTCCCTGTGCATTTTTATAAAAAAAGACAAACATAATGACACTCGGGCATATCAATATTCGTTGTTCAAGTATGAATATTTACATCTCACTTCCTATTGGCTATTGAAATTGAATATCCCTACATTGGCAGTGCTGATGCACCATCCGTTATTGTGAAAGTTTTCTCATTACATCACCTGAATGTACTCAATCTTTTTTTTATCCAACAGAATAATATGGTGTATAATTTACTGGTGAAGGAGGAAGTATTAAATGCATTTTGTTATTGAAAATAACCCATAAGATTTTTTTATGTTTAAAAAAAAAATTATTTCACCTGAGAATCAAATAGCCTGTGTCGTGAGACTGAGTCGCACTGCCAAACCGATAGTAGATAACTCTCCTTATCTACTACTACTGTGGTACAAGCTGCCAAAGGGAGAGAAAAAAAGGGCGCGATGTAACATTATTTATAAGGATTCAGTGATGGTATTTTCCGGTAGCGACGGTGCCAAAAGCAGTGAGCTTTTTTAATATGTATATTTAAAAAAATGATTTTGTTGGTAGCATTTAAAGATGGTAGAGCGTTCGATCCATCGATCCATCCAGCTCAGCTCAATTTTTATTTTTTTTATTTTTTTTATTTTTTTTATTTTTATTTTTTCATGCATGGATGGATGAATGCATTAACAGGGACATATAAAACAAAGGGATGGATACTTTGGCTTGAATGATGAAAGAGAAAATTACGTCCGGGAAGGTCAACTTCAGCGTATCAACCGCATCCATTAAAACCATGGTGACGGTGATGTAAATTCAACTCCTAATGATAAAGCAAGAGATCATCAAAGTCTCGGTATGATCCAAATGTGTACATATCGCACTACCTGATTTAGGAAGCGATTGGCCTAACTACCCGTCAACCATGGCCAATGCCTATTAAAAAGCGATTGATCTCTTTTGTATGTAGCCAGATTTTTCAGCAATGTCTACTGAAGATACACTCATGTCACCGCTTGGATATTTCTTCGTTGTTATAGCTTGTAACCATAGGCTTGGAAAAGATGCAGTTTTTCCCTGCGTTAAATTTTCTTTATGGTAGGGATATAGCGCTAGTACGGATTTAGATGTAGAAAAGCGACAGTTGTTATTAATTTACAAATGTGATAGTGAGTACCAGACTTCAATTAATCAGCATAAGCTAACTATTGTTTATAAAAGAAAGAAGAAAACAAAAGTGTTCTGAGAGTGATTTTAAAGGAGATACAAATCCAGTAGTATACCATGAATGAGTAAATAATACAGTGCTTTTAGATGTAAAAGCTAAATCGTTTTTTCAATGAGCTTCTACAAAATTTTGTGAAAAGATAGATACAAAAGGTAACAGACAGCGACGAAAAGAGGGGATATTACCTGGTAATAATTATATGATGGTTTTTATTGTTTTTATGCATGATCGAACGATCTGTTGGTATATCTGCCACTTGAAGCACTTATATGAGAAACTATTAAGGATTATTACTTTTCGACTGTCCAGCTTAAATTGTGTAATTATCAGCAGGCTCCAGATAATATATGGTGTCAATATTGGTTTATGGGCAGTTTCTTGGTATCCTTTCCCGATCTTGACGCTGTCATTGATTTACCTGTCATGATCCTGTTACACCTTATGCCACAAATATGCTTTATGAGTAACCAGTGCTCAGACTCAATATTTATCATTAAACTGTCAGCTCTTTAAATCCTTTGTCATGATCCACATAAGCTAAGATTAACTTTTGTCATTGCTTATTCTTTTATTTAATTTCTTGTTTTTCTTTCTCTATAAATATAGTTGATAAATTTCACTTCTCCCAGTTTTCTTTATCAGATATATTTCATAATCATCTTCTCGTTTCTTTTCTCCCTTTTATTCTTAAATAAATAACCTGCTCCAAGAAGCTATTCATTCTCTGTCCTGTCCTGCCTGTCTCGTTCCTCCCTCATTCCTGACATTACCAAACATGGACGTTCGTTTTTTTTTTTTTTTTTTTTTATTTTTTATAAAATTCATCACATCAATGGCTATATGTGTAGGAGACTAAGTAAAGCCTTATGAATAAATCACTGCTTTTTATCCATACATAGCCAAAAAAAAATTAGCTTTCAAAAAGAGATGAAATTCCAACATTGTACGCATATTTGGAACCAGAAGTTTGGGAATGTCGGTACGATCTTAAAGGCGCGGACTTTAAAAAAAAAGAAGGCTCCTCCAATCCAATTCGATTGGCGCACCAGTTCCTTGGACGCTGGGGCGCGCAACCTCAAGAGACCGGCGAGCCTTAGGCAGTGGTTGACGGAAAAATCAGTTACAAGAGTACATTGTATCACGTGATTTATTACCTTTTATGGTAAATAAACCCAGAAGTAGCTCGCCACTCTGCATTATGTTTGTTCTAGAAATGCCACTTGAAGCACTTATATGAGATACTATTAAGGATTATTACTTTTCAACTGCCCAGCTTAAATTGTGTGATTATCAGCAAGCTTTAGCTAATACATGGTGTCAAAAATCGTACCTACGCAAAGATACACAGCATCATAGGTGGGTATGATCAATATACTGGCAAAAATCCATCCAAAATCCGAGACATTTACAGTGAGATAACCATAAAAGTTTAAAAAAAGACGTCAAAGGTAAAAAAAAAAAAAAAAAAAAAAAATGTGGTTTTTATTGCTATAAGGAAACAAAATGGAGACTCACTAGCCAGTTTCAGTAAAGAAAACTGCCCAAGTGCAACTGCGAGTATTGCTTTTTGTAAAAGAAATATTTACTCGCCTCAGGGTTGTTCCCTGTGTACAGACTTCAACAGTAGGATGAGAACAAGCGGGTCAATGTGTGATTCATGATTAATTTTTTTTTTTTTTTTTTAATATCCATCCTTATTGTGATGTGACAATTAACTTTGTTATTATATCCATGATATCCTTAGCAGACATCAAGAGGTCAATATAAATTAACAGCTTAAAATATATACACATTTAGTACAAACAACATAGTTTAAACCAGTATATGTGTTTTACAGCTTACCTTCAGCTTCTGGTTTAGTATTTCGGCATAAGCTTAAGATCAAACGAGCTCAAAGGCGAATGAGTGATGACAGATGTCAAAATAAGTATAAATCGTTTAATAAACATTTATGCGTAATTTTTACATTGTTTTTTTGATTGTATATCCTTGTTCCAGGTCTAGAGAACATCGAAATTACAGATCTTATGCTGCCACTACGTGCACTTTGGCTGTCCCAAAAGACAGCGCTGTCTTTCAAAATTTATTTATTGTTACTGAGGGGTGATTATTTGCTTTTTTGTGTTTTTGTTTTGTTTTTGTTTTACGAGTGACCCAAGAGCAATGTGAAAGAGTCACAATTGCGACAACAAGTCGAAAGAAGTATTTTTTATGAAAGAAAGCACACTGTTTTTAAACGGCCAGCGTTTGAAAGTATAGTTGTCATACGATTAGATTGCAGAATGGAAGCACCGTTGTGAATGTGAAAGGTTGATCGTCAAAAACTTGTCTCAATCGAGATCTCCAGATTCCAAGTAAAATACAAGCAACAATGAAAACGAATGATAAAGAAGTGGCGACAGTAGAATTTTTTGTTTTTGTAAGTCATTCGAATCAAGCGAAATGAGTATAGCCAGTATTCTACCAGGTCGAATTAGCACGTCCGTAAAAGGTGGTCGCAGGCTTTGGAGGGAACAAGGAATCACGCAATATAGCTCCCAATTGTGTTGGTTGATCGAATGCTTGAATACATGTGGACATTTAGGACTCAAGAAAACGACGGAAATTGATAGACCCAGTAGACTATATACTGGAACCCAGGAGACGACGAAAGTTACCAGTAGGTTGCATATACGCATTGGTTATTGCGACCCCAAATTTACGAAGTAGCTTAGGGGAATATAGTCTCACGATCAGATTGTTGTTGCAGAATATGTGTATTGGGACCCACGATGAAGAAAATCGCGTACCAAGACCTTAGACATACGGACGCTGTGGTGAGGGAAAACCACAGAAATGATTGACTCAGAGGCCGGAATAACAGGAGTATTGGAAGCTGGAATAATAATTGAAGCTAGGCCCAACTGCAGTAACATAGCTAATGACAAGTCAGACTGACTAAGATCATAGGTAGGTAAGGAATCCATTAGAGAAAAAGAGAATTGTGAACGAATTTGTTGTTAACGGATGAAATCTCTGTCTTTTTGTTGGAATAGAAGTGGCAAATCGCTTACAACTTGAAAATAGCAGAGACGAGTTATGCCTAAAGTCATTTATCCCAAGAATAGGGTGGATATTTTGATGAAGAAAAAAACTAAAGCAAATAATAAAGGAATGGGATTGTGAGCTCTACTAATGATGACAAGATGGTTTTAACTAAACTTGAGATTTTTGAAAGAGAAAAAGAGATCGATTAGAGACCATACGCAAAAAGCTGTCAATTTCACATTTTTCAATAGTAGAGATTTTTTTAATATAAAGTACCAGGTGATTATAAAGAGTAAGTGGGGGATTATCTACTACTACTGTGGTACAACTTGCAAGAAGAAAAAAAAAAAAAAGAGCAAATAATCTCGCATGAACACATTACTATCAAAGGCTATCAATATCGGGTCAACAATACATTGTTCAATAGTAGAGAATTTTTTTTAATCTAAAGTCCCAGGTGATTATAAAGAGTAAATGGGGGATTATCTACTACTACTGTGGTACAACTTGCAAGAAAAAAAAAAAAAAAAGAGCAAATAATCTCGCATGAACACATTACTATCAAAGGCTGTCAATATCGGGTCAACATCACATTGTTCAATAGTAGAGAATTTTTCTTTAATCTAAAGTCCCAGGTGATTATAAAGAGTAAATGAGGGATTATCTACTACTACTGTGGTACAAGCTGTAAAAGGGAGAGAAAAAAAGGGCGCGATGTAACATTATTTATAAGGATTCAGTGATGGTATTTTCCGGTAGCGACGGTGCCAAAAGCAGTGAGCTTTTTTAATATGTATATTTAAAAAAATGATTTTGTTGGTAGCATTTTAAAGATGGTAGAGCGTTCGATCCATCGATCCATCCAGCTCAGCTCAATTTTTTTTTTTTTATTTTTTTTATTTTTTTTATTTTTATTTTTTTCATGCATGGATGGATGAATGCATTAACAGGGACATATAAAACAAAGGGATGGATACTTTGGCTTGAATGATGAAAGAGAAAATTACGTCCGGGAAGGTCAACTTCAGCGTATCAACCGCATCCATTAAAACCATGGTGACGGTGATGTAAATTCAACTCCTAATGATAAAGCAAGAGATCATCAAAGTCTCGTATGATCCAAATGTGTACATATCGCACTACCTGATTTAGGAAGCATTGGCCTAACTACCCGTCAACCATGGCCAATGCCTTTAAAAAGCGATTGATCTCTTTTGTATGTAGCCAGATTTTTCAGCAATGTCTACTGAAGATACACTCATGTCACCGCTTGGATATTTCTTCGTTGTTATAGCTTGTAACCATAGGCTTGGAAAAGATGCAGTTTTTCCCTGCGTTAAATTTTCTTTATGGTAGGTGATATAGCGCTAGTACGGATTTAATAGTAGAAAAGCGACAGTTGTTATTAATTTACAAATGTGATAGTGAGTACCAGACTTCAATTAATCAGCATAAGCTAACTATTGTTTATAAAAGAAAGAAGAAAACAAAAGTGTTCTGAGAGTGATTTTAAAGGAGATACAAATCCAGTAGTATACCATGAATGAGTAAATAATACAGTGCTTTTAGATGTAAAAGCTAAATCGTTTTTTTCAATGAGCTTCTACAAAATTTTGTGAAAAGATAGATACAAAAGGTAACAGACAGCGACGAAAAGAGGGGATATTACTGGTAATAATTATATGATGGTTTTTATTGTTTTTATGCATGATTCGATCCTGTGTAATACCACTTAAAGCACTTATATGAGAAACTATTAAGGATTATTACTTTTCGACTGTCCAGCTTAAATTGTGTAATTATCAGCAGGCTCCAGATAATATATGGTGTCAATATTGGTTTATGGGCAGTTTCTTGGTATCCTTTCCCGATCTTGACGCTGTCATTGATTTACCTGTCATGATCCTGTTACACCTTATGCCACAAATATGCTTTATGAGTAACCAGTGCTCAGACTCAATATTTATCATTAAACTGTCAGCTCTTTAAATCCTTTGTCATGATCCACATAAGCTAAGATTAACTTTTGTCATTGCTTATTCTTTTATTTAATTTCTTGTTTTTCTTTCTCTATAAATATAGTTGATAAATTTCACTTCTCCCAGTTTTCTTTATCAGATATATTTCATAATCATCTTCTCGTTTCTTTTCTCCCTTTTATTCTTAAATAAATAACCTGCTCCAAGAAGCTATTCATTCTCTGTCCTGTCCTGCCTGTCTCGTTCCTCCCTCATTCCTGACATTACCAAACATGGACGTTCGTTTTTTTTTTTTTTTTTTTTATTTTTTTTATAAATTCATCACATCAATTGCTATATGTGTAGGAGACTAAGTAATGCCTTATGAATAAATCACTGCTTTTTATCCATACATAGCCGAAAAAAAATTAGCTTTCAAAAAGAGATGAAATTCCAACATTGTACGCATATTTGGAACCAGAAGTTTGGGAATGTCGGTACGATCTTAAAGGCGCGGACTTTAAAAAAAAAGAAGGCTCCTCCAATCCAATTCGATTGGCGCACCAGTTCCTTGGACGCTGGGGCGCGCAACCTCAAGAGACCGGCGAGCCTTAGGCAGTGGTTGACGGAAAAATCAGTTACAAGAGTACATGTGATCACGTGATTTTATTACCTTTTATGGTAAATAAACCCAGAAGTAGCTCGCCACTCTGCATTATGTTTGTTCTAGAAATGCCACTTGAAGCACTTATATGAGATACTATTAAGGATTATTACTTTTCAACTGCCCAGCTTAAATTGTGTGATTATCAGCAAGCTTTAGCTAATACATGGTGTCAAAAATCGTACCTACGCAAAGATACACAGCATCATAGGTGGGTATGATCAATATACTGGCAAAAATCCATCCAAAATCCGAGACATTTACAGTGAGATAACCATAAAAGTTTAAAAAAAGACGTCAAAGGTAAAAAAAAAAAAAAAAAAAAAAAATGTGGTTTTTATTGCTATAAGGAAACAAAATGGAGACTCACTAGCCAGTTTCAGTAAAGAAAACTGCCCAAGTGCAACTGCGAGTATTGCTTTTTGTAAAAGAAATATTTACTCGCCTCAGGGTTGTTCCCTGTGTACAGACTTCAACAGTAGGATGAGAACAAGCGGGTCAATGTGTGATTCATGATTAATTTTTTTTTTTTTTTTTAAATATCCATCCTTATTGTGATGTGACAATTAACTTTGTTATTATATCCATGATATCCTTAGCAGACATCAAGAGGTCAATATAAATTAACAGCTTAAAATATATACACATTTAGTACAAACAACATAGTTTAAACCAGTATATGTGTTTTACAGCTTACCTTCAGCTTCTGGTTTAGTATTTCGGCATAAGCTTAAGATCAAACGAGCTCAAAGGCGAATGAGTGATGACAGATGTCAAAATAAGTATAAATCGTTTAATAAACATTTATGCGTAATTTTTACATTGTTTTTTAATGTATATCCTTGTTCCCGGGTCTAGAGAACATCGAAATTACAGATCTTATGCTGCCACTACGTGCACTTTGGCTGTCCCAAAAGACAGCGCTGTCTTTCAAAATTTATTTATTGTTACTGAGGGGTGATTATTTGCTTTTTTGTGTTTTTTGTTTTTGTTTTACGAGTGACCCAAGAGCAATGTGAAAGAGTCACAATTGCGACAACAAGTCGAAAGAAGTATTTTTTATGAAAGAAAGCACACTGTTTTTAAACGGCCAGCGTTTGAAAGTATAGTTGTCATACGATTAGATTGCAGAATGGAAGCACCGTTGTGAATGTGAAAGGTTGATCGTCAAAAACTTGTCTCTATTGAGATCTCCAGATTCCAAGTAAAATACAAGCAACAATGAAAACGAATGATAAAGAAGTGGCGACAGTAGATTTTTTTGTTTTTGTAAGTCATTCGAATCAAGCGAAATGAGTATAGCCAGTATTCTACCAGGTCGAATTAGCACGTCCGTAAAAGGTGGTCGCAGGCTTTGGAGGGAACAAGGAATCACGCAATATAGCTCCCAATTGTGTTGGTTGATCGAATGCTTGAATACATGTGGACATTTAGGACTCAAGAAACGACGGAAATTGATAGACCCAGTAGACTATATACTGGAACCCAGGAGACGACGAAAGTTACCAGTAGGTTGCATATACGCATTGGTTATTGCGACCCCAAATTTACGAAGTAGCTTAGGGGAATATAGTCTCACGATCAGATTGTTGTTGCAGAATATGTGTATTGGGACCCACGATGAAGAAAATCGCGTACCAAGACCTTAGACATACGGACGCTGTGGTGAGGGAAAACCACAGAAATGATTGACTCAGAGGCCGGAATAACAGGAGTATTGGAAGCTGGAATAATAATTGAAGCTAGGCCCAACTGCAGTAACATAGCTAATGACAAGTCAGACTGACTAAGATCATAGGTAGGTAAGGAATCCATTAGAGAAAAAGAGAATTGTGAACGAATTTGTTGTTAACGGATGAAATCTCTGTCTTTTTGTTGGAATAGAAGTGGCAAATCACTTACAACTTGAAAATAGCAGAGACGAGTTATGCCTAAAGTCATTTATCCCAAGAATAGGGTGGATATTTTGATGAAGAAAAAAACTAAAGCAAATAATAAAGGAATGGGATTGTGAGCTCTACTAATGATGACAAGATGGTTTTAACTAAACTTGAGATTTTTGAAAGAGAAAAAGAGATCGATTAGAGACCATACGCAAAAAGCTGTCAATTTCACATTTTTCAATAGTAGAGATTTTTTTAATATAAAGTACCAGGTGATTATAAAGAGTAAGTGGGGGATTATCTACTACTACTGTGGTACAACTTGCAAGAAGAAAAAAAAAAAAAGAGCAAATAATCTCGCATGAACACATTACTATCAAAGGCTATCAATATCGGGTCAACAATACATTGTTCAATAGTAGAGAATTTTTTTTAATCTAAAGTCCCAGGTGATTATAAAGAGTAAATGGGGGATTATCTACTACTACTGTGGTACAACTTGCAAGAAAAAAAAAAAAAAAAGAGCAAATAATCTCGCATGAACACATTACTATCAAAGGCTGTCAATATCGGGTCAACATCACATTGTTCAATAGTAGAGAATTTTCTTTAATCTAAAGTCCCAGGTGATTATAAAGAGTAAATGAGGGATTATCTACTACTACTGTGGTACAAGCTGTAAAAGGGAGAGAAAAAAAGGGCGCGATGTAACATTATTTATAAGGATTCAGTGATGGTATTTTCTGGTAGCGACGGTGCGAAAAGCAGTGAGCTTTTTTAATATGTATATTTAAAAAAATGATTTTGTTGGTAGCATTTTAAAGATGGTAGAGCGTTCGATCCATGCATCCATCCAGCTCAGTTCAATTTTTTTTTTTTTTTTTTTTTGATGTTTTTTTATTTTTATTTTTTCATGCATGGATGGATGAATGGATTAACAGGTGCCATATAAAACAAAAGGGATGGATACTTTGGCTTGAATGATGAAAGAGAAAATTACGTCCGGGAAGGTCAACTTCAGCGTATCAACCGCATCCATTAAAACCATGGTGACGGTGATGTAAATTCAACTCCCTAATGATAAAGCAAGAGATCATCAAACTCTCGTATGATCCAAATGTGTACATATTGCACTACCTGATTTAGGAAGCATTGGCCTAACTACCCATCAATCATGGCCAATGCCCTTAAAAAAGCGATTGATCTCTTTTGTCTGTAGCCTGATTTTTCAGGAATGTCTACTGAAGATACACTCATGCCACCGCTTGGATATTTCTTCGTTGTTGTTATAGCTTGTAACCATAGGCTTGGAAAAGATGCAGTTTTTCCCTGCGTTAAATTTTCTTTATGGTAGGGATATGGCGCTAGTACGGATTTAGATGTAGAAAAGAGACAGTTGTTATTAATTTACAAATGTGATAGTGAGTACCAGACTTCAATTAATCAGCATAAGCTAACTATTGTTCATAAAAGAAAGAAGAAAAAAAAAGTGTTCTGAGAGTGATTTTAAAGGAGATACAAATCCAGTAGTATACCATGAACGAGTAAATAATATAGTGCTTTTAGATGTAAGAAGCTAAATCGTTTTTTTAATGAGCTTTTACAAAATGCTGTGAAAAGATAAATACAAAAGCTAACAGACAGCGACAAAAAGAAGGGATATTACTTGGTGATAGTTTTTATTATATTTATGCATGATTTGATCCTGTTTAACACCGAACGATCTGTTGGTATATCTGCCACTTGAAGCACTTATATGAGAAACTATTAAGGATTATTACTTTTCGACTGTCCAGCTTAAATTGTGTAATTATCAGCAGGCTCCAGATAATATATGGTGTCAATATTGGTTTATGGGCAGTTTCTTGGTATCCTTTCCCGATCTTGACGCTGTCATTGATTTACCTGTCATGATCCTGTTACACCTTATGCCACAAATATGCTTTATGAGTAACCAGTGCTCAGACTCAATATTTATCATTAAACTGTCAGCTCTTTAAATCCTTTGTCATGATCCACATAAGCTAAGATTAACTTTTGTCATTGCTTATTCTTTTATTTAATTTCTTGTTTTTCTTTCTCTATAAATATAGTTGATAAATTTCACTTCTCCCAGTTTTCTTTATCAGATATATTTCATAATCATCTTCTCGTTTCTTTTCTCCCTTTTATTCTTAAATAAATAACCTGCTCCAAGAAGCTATTCATTCTCTGTCCTGTCCTGCCTGTCTCGTTCCTCCCTCATTCCTGACATTACCAAACATGGACGTTCGTTTTTTTTTTTTTATTTTTTTTTTTTTTTTATAAAATTCATCACATCAATGGCTATATGTGTAGGAGACTAAGTAAAGCCTTATGAATAAATCACTGCTTTTTATCCATACATAGCCAAAAAAAAATTAGCTTTCAAAAAGAGATGAAATTCCAACATTGTACGCATATTGGAACCAGAAGTTTGGGAATGTCGGTACGATCTTAAAGGCGCGGACTTTAAAAAAAAAGAAGGCTCCTCCAATCCAATTCGATTGGCGCACCAGTTCCTTGGACGCTGGGGCGCGCAACCTCAAGAGACCGGCGAGCCTTAGGCAGTGGTTGACGGAAAAATCAGTTACAAGAGTAAATGTGGACACGTGATTATATTACCTTTTATGGTAAATAAACCCAGAAGTAGCTCGCCACTCTGCATTATGTTTGTTCTAGAAATGCCACTTGAAGCACTTATATGAGATACTATTAAGGATTATTACTTTTCAACTGCCCAGCTTAAATTGTGTGATTATCAGCAAGCTTTAGCTAATACATGGTGTCAAAAATCGTACCTACGCAAAGATACACAGCATCATAGGTGGGTATGATCAATATACTGGCAAAAATCCATCCAAAATCCGAGACATTTACAGTGAGATAACCATAAAAGTTTAAAAAAAGACGTCAAAGGTAAAAAAAAAAAAAAAAAAAAAAAAAATGTGGTTTTTATTGCTATAAGGAAACAAAATGGAGACTCACTAGCCAGTTTCAGTAAAGAAAACTGCCCAAGTGCAACTGCGAGTATTGCTTTTTGTAAAAGAAATATTTACTCGCCTCAGGGTTGTTCCCTGTGTACAGACTTCAACAGTAGGATGAGAACAAGCGGGTCAATGTGTGATTCATGATTAATTTTTTTTTTTTTTAAATATCCATCCTTATTGTGATGTGACAATTAACTTTGTTATTATATCCATGATATCCTTAGCAGACATCAAGAGGTCAATATAAATTAACAGCTTAAAATATATACACATTTAGTACAAACAACATAGTTTAAACCAGTATATGTGTTTTACAGCTTACCTTCAGCTTCTGGTTTAGTATTTCGGCATAAGCTTAAGATCAAACGAGCTCAAAGGCGAATGAGTGATGGTAGATGTCAAAATAAGTATAAATCGTTTAATAAACATTTATGCGTAATTTTTACATTGTTTTTTTAATGTATATCCTTGTTCCCGGGTCTAGAGAACATCGAAATTACAGATCTTATGCTGCCACTACGTGCACTTTGGCTGTCCCAAAAGACAGCGCTGTCTTTCAAAATTTATTTATTGTTACTGAGGGGTGATTATTTGCTTTTTTGTGTTTTTTGTTTTTGTTTTACGAGTGACCCAAGAGCAATGTGAAAGAGTCACAATTGCGACAACAAGTCGAAAGAAGTATTTTTTATGAAAGAAAGCACACTGTTTTTAAACGGCCAGCGTTTGAAAGTATAGTTGTCATACGATTAGATTGCAGAATGGAAGCACCGTTGTGAATGTGAAAGGTTGATCGTCAAAAACTTGTCTCTATTGAGATCTCCAGATCCCAAGTAAAATACAAGCAACAATGAAAACGAATGATAAAGAAGTGGCGACAGTAAATTTTCTTGCTTTTGTAAGTCATTTGAATCAAGCGAAACGAGTATAGCCAGTATTCTACCAGGTTGAATTAGCACGTCCGTAAAAGGTGGTCACTGGCTTTGGAGGGAACAAGGAATCACGCAATATAGTTCCGAATTGTGTTGGTTGATCGAATGCTTGAATACATGTGGACATTTAGGACTCAAGAAAACGACGGAAATTGATAGACCCAGTAGACTATATACTGGAACCCAGGAGACGACGAAAGTTACCAGTAGGTTGCATATACGCATTGGTTATTGCGACCCCAAATTTACGAAGTAGCTTAGGGGAATATAGTCTCACAATCAGATTGTTGTTGCAGAATATGTGTATTGGGACCCACGATGAAGAAAATCGCGTACCAAGACCTTAGACATACGGACGCTGTGGTGAGGGAAAACCACAGAAATGATTGACTCAGAGGCCGGAATAACAGGAGTATTGGAAGCTGGAATAATAATTGAAGCTAGGCCCAACTGCAGTAACATAGCTAATGACATGTCAGACTGACTAAGATCATAGGTAGGTAAGGAATCCATTAGAGAAAAAGAGAATTGTGAACGAATTTGTTGTTAACGGATGAAATCTCTGTCTTTTTGTTGGAATAGAAGTGGCAAATCGCTTACAACTTGAAAATAGCAGAGACGAGTTATGCCTAAAGTCATTTATCCCAAGAATAGGGTGGATATTTTGATGAAGAAAAAAACTAAAGCAAATAATAAAGGAATGGGATTGTGAGCTCTACTAATGATGACAAGATGGTTTTAAGTAAACTTGAGATTTTTGAAAGAGAAAAAGAGATCGATTAGAGACCATACGCAAAAAGCTGTCAATTTCACATTTTTCAATAGTAGAGATTTTTTTAATATAAAGTACCAGGTGATTATAAAGAGTAAATAGGGGATTATCTACTACTACTGTGGTACAACTTGCAAGAAGAAGAAGAAAAAAAAAGAGCAAATAATCTCGCATGAACACATTACTATCAAAGGCTGTCAATATCGGGTCTATCAAATCCAGTGCGTGATTTTTGGTAGGCGATTATGCGAATTGATATCGATAGAAGGTTTGATTTAAGGCAATCTAACCCGCATCTAGCATCTTTCGCGTATGCCTCTAAAGTGAAAATATAACTACGGAGTCTTACTTTCGTATGGCTGTAATGATATAAACCATATAAAAATGTAGATGACAGTAGCTGGTTATAGAAACTGATTGCATTTTG